CTCCTTAGTTATAGGGAGTCGAAAATGTGGAAGCAATTCAGGCGAATTGCTTCCACAAAGGGATGGTACGTCTGTGCCACTTTTGACTGACTAAACAATGAAGCTTAGAAAAGCGGAAACAACATTGTTTTTTTAAGTTCTTGGAGTGAGTAAGAACCATACCTACTCAAACACTTGTAATGATTACTTAAAACTATACCTCAGTAACAATTGTGTTCCGAAACCAATTGCTAAGGACTGGGTTAAGACTTTAAATATTGCACCGAAAATCCCCAAAATTTGTTTATACAAAAGTAATTATTAATTTTATGTCTTCGGCTTACTCACGTAAGGAACTCGACTAGTTTCAAGCCACGTTAAAGGCTCATACGCTGAGGGTCACGGAATGCTGCTCATGAGTTTTAACATACAAAAGTAGTATCTAAACATCGTTCCATAATGCAGTGAGTGGCGAGCGGTCACCGGTGACCGCTTGGGTCTTGACCAGTTGTAACCAATATGACTCTGAGTCTATTAGTCGGCGCTAAGTCTTTTATCCAATACCAGGGTAAGTTCTGACATTGATAAATTTTTGTGACTATTTTAATACTTAGGTCTCAAGTCATCTAACTTTCCTATATGTTTGCCTGTATATTAGGCTATCTACTGTTCTGTAGGTATCTGCTGTTCTGTAGGTGATTAATTGACAAATAGGTACCTTCCTTCATATATATTCTATGTAAGTAGACACATAGGTGATGATGGTGCCACCAGGGTGGTGTTAGTGAGGTAAGAATCTCACACTTCCCAAAAAGCTAGACGCCTTTTAAAGTTTCCCCCCACAATGAAACAAAAAAACATAAATAGGTAAATATATAGGTAGGTACGTATATAGGTAGATACAATAATTCTTGTATACGAGCTCCATCTACCCACGAAGAGTAAAGCCACAAGTAAGTACATCGCTACGGTACCCGTGCGTAGAGACGTAGTGTAGCCCGCCGGGGAGATGGCACCACTCGCGGCTTGTATCGATCTCCCGCGCCCGAACACTGAACCTTTCCTAACCGCGACTGTACGCGCTTCAACCTACACATGTTGATGAAACTGACACTATACCACCCTTCCATATCCTGTACATATATGCCTCCGATATTGTGAAACTGTATTCTCTGTGATAATTTTCAGTGTGTTCTGACATCGACAATGTTGCTTCTAGTTATACTGAAACGTAAGGGTAGACTAAGGTTCGGGGGCTCATTTTAATAGTGTGGCTTGGTCCAGTGAGGATGTGGATGTGGTGCGGTGCACGTGCTAGTGCCGGGGGCGTGCCACGGCCGGCGTGCGTACTCCGAGCGCCGCAGATATGGATTTAAGATTAACGAGGCCACGTAAACGCGGCGTCGCGGGGGTCGGGGCGCGCGCCGTGTTTACATGCGGGTGCAGGCGGCGGGTGCAGCGGGCGGGCGATCGATCGCTGGGCGGAGCGGGCGCG